AACTCATTCCTGGGTTTCAGTCATTTATTGTCTCTATTTATCAATCAAAATACGTTTCGGTGTATTTTTCCACCATCATCAGTTTTTATGTGTAGTCGTTGTTTAAGCCTTGGCATGCATTTTCTTGCTCGGCAAAAAATGCATGCCAAGGCTTAAAGCAGCAACAACGCTACACATAAAAACTGATGATGGTGGAAAAATACACCGAAACGTATTTTGATTGATAAATAGAGACAATAAATGACTGAAACCCAGGAATGAATTTGATTTGGAATTGAAACACAGTCAGGAAAGTATATACAATAGTTTTTATACACAGGGTGAATCATTATTATTACCGGGCATATTTTGACCAACATTCCAAAATTTCTGAACGGATTTAAGTCGAATTGTTCCTAGGTTTGTTTTCAAAAATTCAGGTTTGCGTGCTGAAAACAATCTTCAACCTGTACTTATGTGTTGCGCAAGTGGCTTGATGCGCCAACCCAATGTAAACCTTTAATCGGCTTGAAAAAATGAGTTATAACTCATTAGCTCAGAGAGCGCCAACAACGTAACACAGTCAGCTCAAGCCTACAATTCATTTGTTCCGCTACAGACAGAAATGGAGGAAAAAAACAAACTGAAGGAACGCTAAGACTACACTGGTTTTTCTATTAACCGAAAAGGGCTTTAAACTGTTTGGATGCGCTACTAAGTTTTTGCCTTTAGTTAACTCTAAAGTTCGCAATCTATTAAGAGTGAGATACTAGGAGAGCATTTAGGCGAGTAAATTTAGACTCATCACATGAACGTATGCTTACCAATCGCCTCTTCGATGTTTGCTGGATGTTTTCACTTTGAAACGCGACGTATGCCGTGCCTTAAATCGTGCGGAATCCTTCGGCTTGAACCGGACCTCATCAGGATAGTTCTGGCGGAACTGCTGCCAGGGATGCGCGTCCTCCGCTTCGTCGATTTGCACCTCAGTCAGCCACGTTTCCAGTCGATTCTTGAACACTCCAAACTTCCGCACCTGTTGATGACTCAGCTCCTATACGGAGTTGGAAGTTAAGCTCGATTTATCAGCGACGAAGTTCGTATTTACTGATCATCGGTCGGATTCATAAAGCAGTCATTTGGGTTCCTTAAAGGGAAAACTCACCTTGGCGTTTTGCTTGTGGCGGCACGACTTTTTGAACGAGTGCAGATGGTCGAGGAACATCTTGTTTACCGGGACGCACTCCCGAAGGCACAACTCCATCACCTCGAAGATGTAGTCGAACTCCATATGGACGCAGGCCTGCCTCAGCATGGCTCCCAAAATCGCCGCGTTCAACCTACCATAAAAACAGACAAACAGTAGAAGAATGTTCAAATCCTCCTCGACGCCTTGTACTTACGTGTAGCCAGTTTGGTTCATTTGGCTGACCAAGTCCAGGGCTTCTTCTTTGTTGGTGCAACCCAACGCCAGCACTCCGTACGTGATCAGATCGGGGCGCATCTTCGTCTGCTTGATCTGTGTCAACACCTGCTTGGCGCCTTCGTAATCCTTTCGCATACTCTAAGGGATTCTGTCGATTAGTTCCTCCAGGCTCCAGGCCAAGCGCTTACCCTCTTCTTCATCAGCATGTTGTAGAAATCCACATCGGGCCGGATGTTCAGCTTCTTCATCGTGACGATCAGCTCTTTTTCAGCTGCTGTCGTTTTCGGCAAACTGTCCAACAGTAGAGTGAACGTCTTGATATCGGGGGCGCACTTGTGAAGCAACATGGTTTCGATAAAGCCCTGGCAGCCTCCAAGCAATAGCAGTCGATCTTCAGGGTTCTTCACTTCGGAGATGCTCAACACACTGCCTGCAGAGTACGAGTAACAGAAAGAGAATTACACTTCTTGAGAATGCAGCGTTCTCCAAGTAAAACTTACCCAAATGGGGCACCGCAGCCAGAAGATTGGGCCTCAAATCCGACACATCCCCATCAGTCCCTTTGGCGATCAGAGCCGTCTGATCCGCTCCACTCACCAGAGCCAACTGCGCCCGCTCTACATTGAGCAACTTCTCCATGACCTGCTTGGTAGCCTCCAAATCGCCCAGGCCACAATCGCGTACGCATCTCAGCAACAGGTTGAAGCTATAAATGGTCGGCTTCACCCGCTTCTCGGTCAGCTTCCTCCACACTAGCAAAGCGTGCCTGAAGCCCGCCTCCTTATCGGAAATGCAGCTCTGCAGCAGGAAGCTAACAGTGTCATCTCGCAGGGGCAGCTTTGCCTCACGCATCTGGTCGACCAAAGCAAAGGCCATCTGCAGATCGCCGCACCGCCCAAAGGCCTTAATCATCGCATTGTAGTTGGTGTCGTTGGGCGTGTAGCCTTTCTCCTGCATAATCCCGTACAGTTGGTTGGCCCTCGCTAATCCATCCGCCGGCCAGGGGCTGTTTGAGCAGGCATTGAACAGCGCTGTGTAGGTGCCGGCTGTTACTGTAAGAGCCCGCTTCTTCATGTTGTTGTACAGCTGGAAGGCCTTCTTGGTGTAGCCGACGCGCCCACATCCGCCCAGCACTAGATTGTAGATGTAATTCTCCGGCTTCACTCGGTCCTCCTTCAGCATTTTCACCTCCAGCACATCGATTGCTTCTTTGATTTTGCGCTGCCGCAAAAAGTCCTTTATTATTGTGGCGTATTGTTTGGTGGAGAGCCTTTGCGATGCTAACGGCTGCTCGCCGATGTGCCTCTCCTCCTCCAAATCTCCGGCGTCTTCCTCAGTTTCCTCCAGCTTTTCCCCAAAACTGTCTGGATCCATCTTGGCCCTTACCAAGAACTCCCGCTCGGACTCTCCAGGAGGCAGTGCCCTGAACCGTTTATCCCTGAATGGGGCCGGGAACTCAAAATTTTGTTTCCGCTCGTACGGGCCTACAATCATGCAATGGCAAAGGGGGTACATGCGGGTAAGTCCCGAGATTCTGACTTACCTTTGTACTGCGCTGGAGTAACATCAGTGCTCAACATTGAGGCGCCGTTTACGCCAGCGTTTGCACTACAAATTGGGGCCCTTTGAAGGCAACTGCGGGCGATATTTCCGCATATTTTTAACTTAAACATACCTAATCGCTCAATGTTTGGCTGGACATCACATAACCTCGTTATTTTGACATGCGGCCACAGATCACAGAACATACCCCCTATTTATAGGAGATATTTTCTGGTCTGTGATCTGTGGCAGTCCACACGAGTGATGCAGATCATGCGCGTACACTAACACAGAGCGCATCATCATCATCAATATACCAGATTTTATTATATATTTTTTTTAGATAAGTTCTATATTGTTGAGGCGGGTTCGTTTTTTTACAAACTTCTTTTTGAGTATTTCTCCTAAAAAATTTTCGTCTTTAAAAAAGACAGAATTTCCTCACGTCTTTTATTACAGATTGATAAATAGTGCTCCTATTTCGCAATAAGAACGAATTATTTATCAAAAAGTAATCAAGAACTATCACCTAGAGGGTATCCTGCGACACACTTAGGCTCAAGTTGTAAGAGAAAATTCCAATTAGTAAAGAAATTAATTTGAAAAATTACCTTGACGTTTCGATAGCTATTTTCTGCTATCGCTATCAAAAGAACCTAAATGAACCTAAAAAAGAGTATGTTAATAAATTGTGTAACAATAGTAGGATAATACAGTATATGAAAATTCGCTCTGATAATTCGTCTGTGCAAATTGTCAGTTATGTGACTTTGACTTATTCTCATTGTTTAAATTAGTAAAGGTAATGTCAATTAATAATTTGGGTGTATGTTTCTCTGGTCTAATTCAGATTTTAGCATAGGCAACCATGTATGACTTAAATTAAATGAACATGAAGCAACACAATTATTTTAATTTAGTAAAATTAGTGCGCTTTCTTTAATTTTACGTTTTTTTGTGGATTGCTCTTTTGTTAAAATTGTGGAATTATTCCATTTAATTTTATGGTAATTATCAAATGCATGTTGACAAATGTGCGATTTATGATATTCTGTTTTTCATGTATGATTGGTGTTCTTTGAGTCTTTTGTGTAATGGTCTTGAGGTTTCTCCTATATAAAATTTATTTTGACAAGAATTTTTGAGGCGACATACCCAAAAAGAAGTTTGTAAAAAAATATATTTTTTAGTTTAACCAAAAACTGAGCGTTTCAGTGGAAATCGCAAAAAAGCATTTTTCTTTCCAACTGGGGTTGGTCAACTTTCCATTTGCAACGGAAAAACAGTTTTTTTCAGAAAAACGGTGAGCGTGCACCGCTTTCTTTCTGGAAAAGTTGTGGGCGTGTCCATATTCCTGCATAATTCTGATTCAGGTTGAGTTTGCTGTGTTGCCATCGCTATGTAGTAACACCTCCTTATTAGCGCTTTTGTAAGAAAAAAATTCTTAAACAGCAGGAATTTTTTGGAAGTCGGGCAATGGCCGTAGAAGGGCGTCAAGCGATGACGTTCACCATTTAACCTCAATCCTCATTAATCGCGACTTGTCAAACCACCATCATAAACAAGATTTACCTCTTGCCTTGCAGCTTGAGATCATCAGTGATTCATTGCGGCTAATAGTGCTTATCGAGTATCAAGCCATTGAAGTCACCAGTTGCACGGCGAAATGAGCCTATCGGGATACACGGACATCTTACAGGGCCCCTTGGCACAGTACCTGCAAATTTCGGAGAAAATCGGCGGCGATGTGGCGGAACAGTCCAAGCTGGTAAGCGCCGCCTTCGAGGCGCAGCTCCTCTACCTGAAACTGGCCGCCCATACATCGAAGCCGCCCCTTTCCGAAACCACCACCCTGCTAAGCCCGACCAGCCAGCAGATAACAGCTGTGCAGGAGTACCGGGAGAAGCACAGGACGTCGCCCTTTTTTATGCATCTGTCCGCTATCAGTGAGAGCGTCACCGCTTTGGCCTGGGTGACAGTCAGTCCGGCACCAGCCCCTTTTGTCAAGGAGATGAACGACGCTGGCCAGTATTACACCAATCGGGTGCTGAAGGACTGGAAGGAGAAGGACAAGAACCATGTTGATTGGGTGAAGGCCTGGGTCCAGACACTCACAGGTAAGCGGTTGCTATCGCTATTTATTAAAACGGTATACACTCAGGCTCCAGCTGCAAGAGAACGTTCCAATTAGTCAATGAAATAAAGCTTGTACCTGCTATAAGTGACTTTTTTGGGGGCTTGCTTAGATTTGCAGGCCTTTGTTAAGCAGCACCACACGACGGGGCTGGTTTGGGCGGGCACTGGGCCTTCCACCGCGCCTCCGCCGCCGCCCTTCGGCAGCCTTCCACCGCCTCCTGCCATCGACGCGCTTTCCTTAGCTGCAGGTGATGCAGGTATTTATTTACTGGATAATCTGCATTTGATCGACCTTTTTCAACAGCAGCCTTAATCAACGTTTTAGGCCTCGACCGTTCGGCGTTGTTCGCTGAAATCAACTGCGGCCAAAATGTGACGAAAAATCTGAAACGAGTCACCGCCGACATGCAAACACACAAAAACACCGCACTGAGACAGGGGCCGGCCCCATTCAAGCCCGTGGTGGCTCGCAAGCCGATATCCACTGTGTTGACTGCCAAGCCGCCCGTCTTCACTCGGGATGGCAAGAAATGGCTGATCGAGTACCAGAAGAACAAGACGGATTTGGTGGTGGAAGATGCCGAAATGAACAACGTGGTCTATCTGTTCAAGTGCGAGAACTCCACCGTCCAAGTGCGAGGCAAAATCAACTCAATCACAATGGATTCGTGCAAGAAAACTTCCATTGTCTTCGACAATCTGGTGTCTTCCATGGAGTTTATCAATTGCCAGTCCGTGCAGATGCAGGTGATGGGCAAAGTGCCCACAGTTTCCATTGATAAAACCGACGGCTGCCAGGTCTATCTCAGCAATGAGAGCCTGGATGTGGAGATTATCAGCTCCAAGTCCTCGGAAATGAACATATTGCTGCCAAAGGGCGATGACTATGTTGAGCACGCAGTGCCTGAGCAATACAAGACTCGCATCACCCCCAATAAAACCCTCCACACGGAGATCGTGGAGAACAAGGGCTAAACGCCCCCGGTTGCTTAAAGGGTAACATCCAGCTCATCCATGGATATTACCGTTTAATCCCAGCAGGATTTAGGCGCTTAACTTCATCGAAACGTTCTAGATGTCCGTTTTGGGAGCCAAGTAAACTCTAACTAAAGTAAAAAGTTGTATTCCGGCGCGTAATGTTTAAGTCCTCCTAGGCCCTAAGTGTTTTTGTAAATTCATACAAACTAGCTTTTTATCGGCAGTTTTATCCTGCGACATTAGCTACCAAGTATTAAGAGCATTTATTTATCATTATTATTCCCAAATATTGGTGTGGATTAGGTCAGCTTTTATTTTACTAAGAGTTACTCATTCGATTAGATATTAATATTCCGCGACGGTAGACTACGATCGTCCCATTCAAGTGTATCGATTAGTTCTCATGTAAAGCTTTCTAATAAATTTGTCATGCATAGCCAGTAACTGGAGGGTGGCGATTTATTTCCCAAAAACCCCCGGATAAATTATGGATGTACCTTTATTAAACACTTTCCCTCACGCTCTATAAATCAGCCCTAACTCCAAAGCCCGCCGCTGGCGGTTCCCCCTTGAGAGACGTTGGTTCGCCTATAGGCTCTGCCGCATATCTTCCACTCCTGAAAATTCCAAAAATATCACCAGCCCAGACGCGTGAACGTTTCTCCTGCTCACCTGGGACCGGGCTTCGGTTTCCTGCCGGCTTTCAAATCAGCCAGAATTTCCTCAGTGTCTTGCACGGTCAAATCCTCCTGCAAACAATCCAATACTAGAGCGGCCTTTTAAGAATACCCTCAACAGGCCTGCATGAACAAAATGATCCATCCACTTACATAGTAATCGTCATTGATCTGCACCATTGGGGCGTTCACACAAGCCCCCAAACATTCCACTTCCGATATGGTAAACAGTTTATCGCTGCTGGTCTCGCCCACTTCTAGGCCCAGATTCTTCTTGATTGTGTCCAGAATTTCATTGGAGCCCCGTAACCAGCATGGCGTGGTCGTGCATACTTGCAAATGGTACTTGCCTGTTGGCTTTCTGCAAAAAGCGTCCTCAACTTTACCACTTTACATTCTCAGTTGAAAACTTGCCTCATGAACATCGTGTAAAACGTTGCGACTTCATACACGCGCATTTTCGGCAATTTTAGGATGTCGGCAACGTGATGCATGGCGGAAATCGGCAGCCATCCGTACTGTCTCTGCGCCAGATCCAGCAGCGGGATCATCGCCGCCCGTTTGTGCCCCTCCGGATAAATCGCCAAGATCGCCTCCACTCTCTTTTTGTTATCGGCGCTAAATTCGAAGGGAATATCGGGATTGTCCTCGGGGGTGTCCCTGTGAACGAACAGCGAATCATGCGCCCGACTTGCCGTGGTCTGCAGGCTTCTCAGCCCCAAGGGCCCCTTCTACAACACCAAAGCAAAGGGTTACATAATGACGAAAAACTTGAACCGAACAAGGGCGCGCCCTACCAGACTGTTCACTGCTGCCCTTAATGTGGGTAACATGTCGATCAATTATCGGTAGGGGCTCTTTTGCAGGTACAAATCAACTTTTCGGGCTCAACTTTTGACAACTGTCCCACTAGTGAGGTTAGGTGTCCGTTAATTTCAAGGTTATGTATCAGGGACTTGAACACGGGTGGAAATCAGCACTCGCTTAGGCTTAAACACGTTTATTTATATTAAAACATTAAAAAAACATCCCCTTTTGCGTTGTCACACATCTCATCCCCTTTTGCGGTGGTATGGTTCATATAAACAAGAAATAGAATCAATCTGCAATAAGCAAACCATGGATGGAAGTTTTGAGCTAATGGATCAGGGGGCTACCTTATAGGGCTTCCACGTAGGACCGTCGACGGGCGTACGACCCTAAACAGGCCAGAATGCCGACGGCAGTGAGAACGAGAACGATCATCAGGGCCATTGTGTCCCCAAAGTCAAACATTTTGCTGGATAAATTTTATCCAGTGCAGGTAAATAAACCAAAACGATAAGAGTAAAGAGTATCTACTTTATACTCGATGCCAAAATGTAAATAAAAACTTAACCCGAATGTGTCAAAGTAGTATTTTCGGTCATTGTGTCATGTCAAGTTTCTTGTGTTTTTCTGCTTCAATGTGAGGTTAAATCGGATTAATTTGCATTAATTTGCGTTCAAATTCTCTACTAGTTCATGTCATTGTCAGCAGTGTTGTCATATAAGTCTCGTTCTGTCTATGGTATTTGCGAAACGTCATAAAAACAGAGGTTTGGTATTTGGTCCAATTTGGTCGTAAAAACATGAACGGAAAAGTGAATTTCAGAGTTTAGTAACTACGTACTGGCGTTAATTGTTTAGTAAAATTGGTGCTTTAAACGTGTAAAATGGATCCTCACTTACACCGGAGAATGTCGTCTTCGAATCCCTTTGCATCGCTGTTTCCAGGCAGCAGTCAAGATGGTTCCGATCACCCTGACGCTCCAGAACCTTCTCTGAATGATCTGCTCGAGGAGATTTTCGGCTTTACTTTAAATGAACAAATCACTGACACCAAGGAAGTAAGTACAGGGTGTTTATTGAACCCTCTGAGCAGGCATAAGAGGCCTTTGGTGGCTTCAGTTCACCTTGGCATGCTATAAAAAAAAGGTTTAAAATAAAACCCCTTTTCCAGCAGGAAATCGCAAATGAAAGCAATGCAAGTGTTATTTCATCGATTTCACCTGCTAAATCATCCCAATATTCGGATCCTTTCCCCGAAATTTCTCGAAAAGATTTTCTAAATGGTTTATGCCAAAACTGTGAAATTCCGTGCTCTTTAATAAGTTGCCAATCTGTTTGGAATGGTGGCACATTTCTTATTCACTTTTGGAATCCTCCATAGACGGCGCCAAAAGGAGTTTTCGGGTTTTCCCTAGAACTGAACACGAAAATTGTAGAAAATCAAGGGGGAAGATGAGAAAACATAGAATAAACTACAAAGCCCAGGCACAGTTCTTTTGAGAATAGCTAAACTATTTTGTGGGCAATTCTTAGAGCGTAAAAGCCATATTCATATTATTCCCAGATAGTTCCTAGAAAGCCTTAAATGCTAAAGATTTGCACAAAAAACTCATTTGTGTCAATTAAGTACATTCGGCATCAACACAAAGGTTCCACCCAACACAGTGTTACACCGACCTAATGCATGCCCTAACAGGAGTGTTAATTAAAACTGTAATTTATTCGAAAATTTCAGTTTGTTCACTATTGATTAATTAACAGTTGAGTATTCCAACATTGCAGATTCTTTATTTGGAGGAAGTAAGCGAGGAGCTAGACACAACAGTTCTAAATATGGACAACATTCGGCAAGTTCTATTTGAAAGACTTTTAATTTGCCAAAAAGATAATCCCGTTCTGATTAACAATAAACGTTTGGGATTTCGAAACCAACACGCCATTGAAATGCTACCAATAAAATACCTGTACGACTGCTACGTATTATTGCACACCAATCAACATTTGAGGCCAGAAGATCGATTATCTTTAAAGGACAAGATTATACAAAATGTGGCTACATCTATATTGCAGCCGGACATCTATGGCGATCAAGATTTGTCAGAGCAAATGTTCAATCTGTTGTTAGCAGGTGGACCTCATCATGATACGTTTTTCGTCGAGGTTTCTAGAAGGGTGCTAGATGAAGAAGCGACTAGTAAGAAATGGCGAACGCAACATGTATTTGCTTACTATATTCCTTATTGTAGATGACATTGTTTTATCGTCGTTCATTGAGCAGATGAATAGAAAAATGACTGCAAAGTTGAGACAGGCTCATTTGGTATCCTTTGAACTCCGCGTCCTTAATTATTTCAAGGCATGCACGGCCAATGACTTTTTGGCAGATATATTTATAGATCTTTGTGTACCATTGACGCTTTACAAGGGCTCAGAGTATCCCAATACCCCAATAGGGGCGCTTCTTAATTTTTCTGTACTGCCGAAGAATTCAAATGACCCTTATACGCTTTTTAGTGGAACCCTGGATCAAGTGAGTGCAACAATAATATTTATAAAATACGTATTTATAGTTATCTTTTATGTTTTTTACATATAGAAAGCAAATCGCATTGAAAACGAATTGATGTGGGAAAGTATGGGACATCAGAAAGACCTGCTTTATGCGTTCTTTTTACAATTCCTAAAAAGGAGCAATGCAGTAAGAACCAAATTGCTCACGTGGTTTGGCCGTTGCTTGCAGTACAATGGCGATAGAGGAAAGCTCGCACATCAGGTAAAGATGAAAGGATCCAGGCAAAATTTGAGGTCATTTCGGTTCTACTTCCCTGATTTCAAATTTTCGCTCTCATAAACTCCTCAGTATCAAACCACCCCTCAAAACAGGAGCGGATCCAGCTTTAAAGCCAGGGGGGGTTATGTAGAAAAAATACAGACTTCTGTTATCTATGAAATTAGAAAAATGATCGTCGTTTTGTGCAAGGGTGTCGCAAGATTATGCCAAAATTTCATGTTTTCCGTCACATTTTTGCTCATATCTCAGAGGCAAAATGAGCAAGAACGCTCATTTGTACATCATTCTAGAGAGAAATAAATGGCCTTTTTAGAAAGTGAACCATGGATGGGGAAATGTTGTCAGTTTTCTCAAAAATTGCTTGAATTCAAGATGTTTTAAATTTGCGTGGTTTTTTTTCAGTTGCAAAATCCACTTGAACATGACGCTGCTTTTTTCGAAGTTTCTCACGAACCATTCGTAGTCGTAAAACTGGCCTTTGCCTTACCTTGTCTATAGAACTTAAGGGTTTTATTAAAATATCCTGATCGAATAATTCGATTATTCCCATCAATACATGTGGGGTTATTTATCTGAATAGTTTATTCCCTTTTAGGGAGGGATGCAATTTCTGAACATAAGCAATCCCCAGGCACCTGACGGATTTATGCTAAACGTTTGCACTGTATTGGTGGACTTGACTAGGCCGTTTTGCTTAGATTTTACTGACGGGAGGATACTAAAAGTTGACCCTACTTATACTGCTGTACAAACTGTGAGTAGTAAATTGCCTTGATGGCTTATGATCATATTGAAAATATTTTTCAGCAAGGCACCGGTTCAGACGCATCCTCAAAAGGAGTAAATATGTTTGGTTTATCAGCTGAGACCTGTTTAGTTCCGGTCGAAACTCATGACGGTTTAGAAGAAACGCGAATAACTGCGGAAAAGTACAATTTTATTACACAGGTTTTTTTTATGGCTCACAAAGCAATGGACTTGTCATTTCGAGGCATGGTTCAACATCTAAATGCCTTAAACGAAGTAAGAATGTTTTTAGCATTTTATAGACTTATTTAAGTTAGGGCTGGAATATGGGATATTCGCAAAATATTCGCAAAACGTTGTGCTCTTGCATGCCGGCAGCCACAGGCCCGAATGATTCACTATCTAAATGTCTTACACGATAATATACATATTTTTATCGAATATCTTCATCTTAAGGGCTTTAAAAGGGAAGCAGACTGGTTTCGGTATTAAGTATAAAATGCTTTCGTTGTTAATAATAAAAAATAAACACCGTTTTCAGTTTTATTTTATATTAATAATGAAAACATGTTATTGCTTTTTTTCGTCTGCAGCTTTTTTAGAATTACTTGAAAAGATCAGTTACACATTTATTAAAAATCTGTATAAACCTTTCTAGGAAGTACAAAAACTTATGACGGCGCATAGAGATGCGGTGGAACAAACAGGTCTAAACTCAGAGTTAACTAGTACTGTAAAAAAGGCGTTAATTTCAGAATATACCAAGTAAGACGACTTATATTTAGCATCACAAATAATAAATCAATTCGAACTTTTCAGATTGCTCCATTTTAAGTGTGCGCTGGGTGAACCGAAATTGCTAAACAGTTTGTTTGATTTGATATCAGCCACTTGTTATTGGTTGTCGCAAGTTGCAGTAAATGTTGACTTATCTGAAACCGAGACTACAACTTTTGCTCCCTTGGAAGAAAGAGCCATTACTTTTCCTCTTCCAGAAAAAGTTCCATTCACACTTAAGTTGGTGTAAAAATCATAAAATGTACTTTCAATAAGCGTAGTTTGTTTTAGATGCATTCCAGAATTCATCGTAGAAAACATAGTCAGTTTTTTAGTGTATATATTTCGATACATTCCAACTTTGTTTGAGGACATCGGTTGTAGCAAAATGGAACCAATTGTTACGTTTCTGTTGACATACATGGGTTCATCTAGTCATATGAAGAATCCACATCTTAGAGCCAGATTGGCTGAAGGATTAGATGCCTTTGTGCCAAATCGCGACGATCTTACAATACTAAATATTAGCACTTATCAAAGGACTAGGCTATTTACTCACCATCCCCACAAGGGGGAGGTAAGCATTTGCTAAGTTTAATCTTGAATGAGCATAGAAAAACTTGCTATTAATTTCTGTTTTAAAAAATGCGACAGAAACTGCATTTAGTGTGCTTGTTTTAGATGGTGAAGATGGTAATGAAGGTCTTCGTAAGCATAGAAATGACTGGACAAAGCGTGCAATTTGAACAGAAGTTCAACTACAGAAGACCGATGTATCAAATTCTTAAGTACTTATGGCAAATTACAGAGCACGAACTTTGTTTCAAGTATAATTCCGTATTATTTTGTATTTCAAGCTTTAATCCAGTACACTTTAGGGCGTTAGCGTGCGAAGCTGAAGCCAACATGGAAGCCGTAGAAGCTCCATTATTCCTACGTTTTATTAACTTGCTGATAAACGATGCGATTTATTTGTTAGATGAGTCTTTGAGCAATATGGCCAAACTTAAGGAAATGCAAACTGCCCAGTAGGAAGATTGCACGTTTTTTATGAAGCATTTATGTGCATTTTGTGAACTATTTTAGCGCAAATGGAGAATGGAATTCGTTGAGTGAAAGAGAAAGCGCTGAAAATATGCGGCTCATGAACCACACAGGCAGGTTAGCCCAGTATGATAATACGTTAGCGAAAGACACCACCTTTGCCTTACAACAAATAACATCAGAAATCACCTCGGTTTTTACCCATCCTACCATAGTCGATAGAGTTGCGGGAATGCTAAATTATTTCCTCTTAAATTTAGTTGGACCTAATCGCAAAAACTTCAAGGTAGGGTCATTTTGTTCGTGCCATGATTGTCCTTTGTAATGGCTATTTGTCTTAGGTAAAAAATTTAGACGACTACGCGTTCGATCCTAAACAAATCGTGTTGGATATAATTAAAATTTACATACATTTGAAAGATAGCGATGCATTTTGTCTAGCGGTTTCGCAAGATGGACGCTCCTATAGTCCAAGCTTATTTGAATTCGCCGAGGATGTTTTAGTTCGCGTTGGTAAGTGTTTATTAACTAACTTTATAAAAAAATACTACTTGCAACTAACAATTGTGCCTATAATTATGAAAGTGGTCTAAGTCATATGTGTATTTCTTGTTTCTGTATTCTTTTTATATGTATAACGTGGAGTCACGGAAAACCATTTATTTAAACAAAATTTAGTTGCATAATAAACATTGAAAATGTAGTTAGGTATAAATATTTCCTAAACTAACACGACATCATTTATTTATTTCACAAAATGCTGGAGTCCAAAATCGAAAATAGTAGTTTTGTAAATCTATTCTAATTGGCACCCGAATAATTTATTTGTATTTATATAAAAAGGTACAAGAATCGAAATTTTTTCAGACTATGGGTGCTTATTGAGTGAGTTAAGAGAGGTGGCTGAAAAAGTAGCCAGAAAAGCTATCGAGTACATGGAAAATGAAGAAGCCTTGGCCGAAGCTCCTGATCATTACTTAGATCCCATTATGTCCACTTTAATGAAGGATCCAGTCATTTTGCCAAGCTCTAAAAAGACGGTTGATAGAACCACAATCGCAAGGTAACCGACCTAAAATTATTTAATTCAATTATCATTAACATGCTTAGAAGTGCTGGCCTCAAAGGTACGGGTGGTAGAATATTCCCGATTGTATCAACAGAATTTCGGTGATTTCCGGCCTTTTAAATCGAAAATATAATTTCGTTCAATGGATGAAGAAACTCGTGTTACGTTCGGGGACTCTGCTGAATTTATTCCATACCATTTTTTTATATTCAGGTTACTTCGTAGGAATAATGCGGTTTTCGAGATAATCTAATATTAATTAACAATTAGTGGATTAAGTATCTTCAACACTTCTTTATCACCATTTACTGAAAACTGTATTTCTGATTCAGACATCTTCTGAGCGACCAAACTGATCCGTTTAATCGGTCGGCGCTATCCATGGATCAACTAATTCCGGATGTAGCACTGAAAGCTGAGATAGACAATTTCATTCGCGAAAGGCAGAAGAAAACTAAACCCGAAGCGAACGAAATATTTATCGAGACAATGGAAATGGACTAATAATTCAGGTTTTTTCAAATTTTATGTGGCAAATATACAAATATTTTGTCTTGGTGCATGTTTCATGACCGTCGCCTGAAGGTGACGGTGATTTACAGATATTATATAAAATTTAAATTTTAATGATATCAAGTCTATTATTGTCTTACTGTGTAGAATTTACTGTGGCTCAATGCGGACTTTCTTGCAACGTTACCATTAAACAATTAAATTAATTTTAAACTGTATATCTGATTTGTTTTATAATGTTTATTTGAAAATAAACCTGTTTATCTCGTACTGTATAGTATTCGCTTGAATTGACCAATTGACTTGTTTTTTTCGTGTGCTCTTTAATTGTGTGTTTTCCAATAGTGTTCTTTTGTCTCATCGCTTTGCATATTTTCAATCAGGTAAGTGCCTAATGCAAAATTATGGTTTTGTCCAAATTTACATTCAATTTTTTTCACACTAATATCTTTGAGACGATTTTCAGACGTACATTCTCACGTTTTTGAAACGTTTTTGAGTTTTCCTGACTGTATTTCTAATTTCGGCATAAACAATGTTCCTGGGTTTCAGTCATTTATTTAGATTATCATAATTTAGTCATTAAATAAAAACGTTTCGGTGTTTTTCCGCCATCATCAGTTTGTTCGTGTAGGCGGATAATCTAAATAAATGACTGAAACCCAGGAACATTGTTTATGTCGAACAACAGAAGCAAATAAAAAAACGAAGATTAATCGATGTAAATATTATATTTTACATTAATTTAATGTAGCTCTTTGTGGGTCAGACGGCAACCCTGTAGTTTGTAAAATTTGCCAGATGCTTCACAAATTTGAACGCACGCGCCAGCAAACATTATGAGGTGGTTTAGGGGTGGAATTATTTAAAATCCCCCACCAAGAATATTAAATGAGAATAGAGGCAGGCCGGATTTTACCCTCAGTTTCATGGTTCTTTATCTATTAAACGGGCATTTAAATATTTAAATATACCAGGTGGCCGATTTATTCATGCAGCACAGCTGGTTTTAAAAACCTTTGTATGGGTGTTTCCTTATATTAAGTAAGGATAACTGGACTGAGCACCTAAAATCTTCACAATATCATAAATGTATTTACGTTTTACAGCTTTTGCATAAAGTGTGAGGGTAACTGGACAGAGCGTTTTTCGAAATCACTCAAAAATCGACAGTTAAAATGCATTCTGCATGTTTCATGTTACGGTTTTATTTTGCGCACTTTGTATATGTGGTCTGATAAAAAAAATGCAAATTAGCCTCAATTGCCCACAGACACTGGATAGACTTATATACTTTGCCACTAAGCAGCATTTTAAAGAAGCTGAATGGTCCAGAAATGAAGCAAAATTTTTTTGATTTTTTCATCAGGCACCGACTAACTTGTTTGAAGTTAAAGACACAAAAGTATGTACTTGTATACGCATCAATTCGAGGTTATGAAAACAATAAACTCGTTGACAATATTGACATTTCGAAAAAGTACGGTCCCCCATTCAAGTAATTGTGTCGCACTGACCCTTTATCCTTATCTATTTTATTGTCACTTTCTGTATTGTTCCATAGTTGCCGGACTTTTAATAATAATAACGAAGCAACAGGTATTTACGTATGTTAATTAGGCAGACAACCATTGTAGCCTGCCTTCTGATCTAGTTTTTTGCAAATATCTCCTTTAATAACAATTATTTTTTTACTGTTTTTCCTGTACCCCGTATGTATAGCAAACTAGGGTTACTTTCCCACCTAGAATACGTGGCTGAAACAGGGGCGGATCCAGCTTTAAAGTCAGGGGGGGGGGTATGTAGAAAAAATACAGTCTTCTGTTGTTTATGAAATTAGAAATATTATCGTCGTTTTATGCAAGATTATTGCAAAATTTCATGTTTTCCGTCCCGTTTTGCATGTTTCTCGGAAGCAAAATGACCAAGAACGCTCGTTTTTACATCATTCCAGAGATAACTAAATGGCATTTTTTTGTTGGCCGTTTTGGCATCGTTGGATAGATAATATTGAATATCAGACGCTTAGCTGCAAGATTATGCCCAAATTTCATGTTTTCCGTCCCGTTTTTGCTCATTTCTCGGAGGCAAAATGAGCAAGAACGCTCATTTGTACATCATTCTA